GGGGGGGGGGGGGAGGCAGATCAGCAAGTAGCTGGTGTTTCTAAAAGGTGTTAATAGGAACTAGAGATTTTCACCTGTTCATAGAAGGAAAATATTTTGTAATTTGTTATAATTTATTTTGAATTTTTTCCTAAATCCCTCCAGGTAGCCATTTAGGTCATAGAGGGCTTTTATGTTTTCCACCTCTTGGGAAGCATAATTTTTCCTATTTAAACTTGATGTTCTCCTAGCAGGAGGTAAAAAGGACTCCTGAGTCATCAAATACACAATAAAACAGGAGCTGACAAATTCAGTGTAACCTGAAATGGGAGGAAGATCTTAAAAATAATTGCTGTGAAATTCATTTCACTTCTTTTCTTATTTTTAAACAAAGTGCCATGTTAAAAGTAATTGATTTTTTGCTTTTTGATAGCCCAAGGGATATTTGTTTTGCTACTGCAGTGCATGGTCGTTCTAATAGCCTGATTCTTCAAATTTCCAATCCTGCTGCCCATTAATCTGTTTCCCTGCATATTTTCTACAGAACTTTTGACCACCTTCTTCCACTATGCCTTCTGTTTACAGGTTCCCTTTCTCCTAGCCTCTCTTGAAATATCTTTGGTAAACTTCCTAGTTCCTTGCCAGTATTTCTCAGTTATGTTTGTTATATCATTACCATTTCCAAGCAGGTATCTTGTGCTCCCATTCCTTCCAACCCCATTTTCTCAACTTCGTTCCTACTCATCAGCTCTATTTCTTTTCCAGCTGCTAGTCCCTTAGCACTGTCCTTGTAGGACTGCGGTTCTATGAATTTGCCTCACCCACCTTCTTCATATGCAAATTTGCAATTGTGTAAGCATTAAAATTTTGTAATTATATTAAGATTTTAATTTCATCTCGCTAGCTCATTTTTGGAGGTTCCCCAGAAGTTCCTCAAGCACCTCCCTACCAGCCACTAACCTTGAAGCTTTTCTAGCATTTCCAGATTAGTTACAAGCCCATCCATAACCCTTACTGTCACATTAATGACATACTGAACCCTGAAGGATTAGTATGGTATCCCATGGCTACCTTCTGCCACGATAAAATACTACAAAATAGTTAATTTATTGCATCTGTTTTGTGACAGATGCATGTTTCTGTAACTTCCCAGTTTATATAGCAACACCTCATCTCTAAACCAACAACTGTTGAACTCCTCTAAAAAAAGTACACTTCCATTAGCAAAAGACCTTGGTTCAAACACAGTGTGTGCAATGCAGGCCCCCTCATCTCATGAGCAAAGTATACCAATTAAAAAGCCTAGAGGCTGGCTTCACTAAAGACACCAAGTTGTTTGGCTGCCTGGATTTTATTCACTTTCAAATGCTGAGTCCTTCTTTAAACTCATTATTAAATAAGACTTCCCCAGATGTCTAAAGCTTAGGGATATTTTTGTTTATTTGTTTTGCATTTGAATAACTTTGACATTCTTCTAATGAATTCTCAAGCTTAAATTGCCCGCTTGCACTCTTAAATACTAATTATAGGTGAGGCAAAGGTTTTGGTTGACCTTACAATTTTAATAAAAACGATACCAATATATTATTTTCTGATTTTTATTTCTGATTAAAAAAATAACGGATGAATTACATGTATTAGTTAACTAAAACCCAGTATAACTGAGTAAAAAAAATTGTTCTAAAAATCAAGATTAGGAAAATTGACATATGAAAGTTGAAATATATGCATATAAAGATATATTAATGAGTGTCATATAATAACTCCCCCAAGTATTTGCTTGTGCAAAATTTATACTTTGGCAGTGCAGGTCCCTCTATCTCTGTCCTAAAAAATAAGCAAAGAAAAGTTTCATGAGTTGATCAGGGTGGAAATTTTTTCTCTCAAGCTTCCTGAACCCAATAAGATGAAAGTATCGGTTTTCTTTAACTACACAGATGTGGTGCATTGCTTATCTACTTCCATACATATTATCGTATTTGAGCAAAAGTATTTAAGTGTTTGTTTAAAAAACACAAATATGTTTAAGTTAGGTTGAGGCAATGATGCACAACTGATTTCTTACAGTTTTATCTGTGTAGGCAATGTTAAAGCCATTTTACATCTGAAATCTCTTTCATGTCTATATGTTTAAGTCTGCTAATGATAAAAAACCAAAAAGCTAAATAATTATATCAGTGGAAAGCCTGTTCTCTCCATAATTCCACTTCAGGAATTCTGACCCTGGTTTTGCTGATATCTGTTAAATTCTAGTGGTATTTAAACCAGATGACTTGCACGGCTTCCTCTTGTTCACCAGCAGCAGATGGTCTCTTTGGACCATAGTGCCATCTAGCTTCTCTTTTCCTGACCTCAGTAATTCTGTGCTGAATACAATTGTGTGATGTAGCAAAAGGAGGCCGAGGGAGCAAGTGTTAATACAATTGTTGAGATAGTCTTGAAAATTTATGTAGACATACAGCTGAATAAGGGGAAGAAATTACTCAACAAGCCTCTCAATAAACTCCTCTTTGATCATCCCTTCAAAAATGGGAGACAAAACTATGTATTTTCCTTTGGGATCGGTCTTATTGCTTCCCTCCAAAATGGAAAATCAAGATCCATACTGATGCTCTAGGCAAGTTACCTGTGCTTTTGTGAAAGCTCTGGCACCATACCAATACTAATACACACTTCACAGGACATCAAGGGCAACATGGCTGAATCCTCTCACATTGCTGAAGGCATTTGTCTCTTAATCCCTGCTCCCGAAGGAGGGATATTTGAAAAGAATTGGAAGATTCCCTGAGGTGGTAAGAAAGGAAGTAAGCTAGAGAAATATACTTTTCATTCATATGAGGAGGGGAGTTGTGTCTTCTTCCTTTATTATGAGATTAGCAGAGCAGACATTAAATGGTCCACCATAAATCCTTGTAACAGGCTATGTGAAATGGCAACTCTTTTTGGGTAATGGATTTCCTTGTATACACCTGGAATCTAAGACCCACTCAAAGATGCCTGGGTTTTATTCGCTTTTGCAATATATGCAGGACCTACCTATATGGAAATATACAACCAATCCCATCCCCTTAACAAAGACATAACCTCATGACAAATGTTGCAGTAAAAGAGGAGACAAAGACCCTTCCACATCTGCGTCTGGCTCACATCCTTGGCAGTTTCTGGTGAGCCAGGACTATACAAGAGCCAATCTAGTTTTCTTAATTTTTCTTTCTAATTCACTCATATACTCTTTACTGTTAGAAGAGAGATTTCCTGCTGTGTCTCAGGAGCATGGTTCACTTCCATACACTGCCATCATTACACGAAATTCTTGCTGCTAATGCCCAGTAGTAAAACAGTCGAGTCTTCAAACTCTCACTTCAGACTCAATAGCAAGATAAAGATTTTCCATGAAATTCTACTAATCAACCAAACTTCTTAAATGATTAGTGTATAAGGCAGCCTTAATCCCTAAGTAATTAACAAACTGATTGAGATTCCATTGCCCTTATTTCTTTTCACATAAACCACTCTAAGTCTGTGAAGATAGGAGGACAAACATGCTACTGAGTAGTAGCCATTGTAAAAGAGGAGGCTGCAGGCTAGCAGCCTAAAAAGTTCCTAAAGAGAACACAGAAACAGCAACCCTCACCCCTAGCAGCACCCACCAGCATCAGACACCTAAAAAGTGGTATTTCAATATAGTACCAACTCCAATAAGTAACGGGAATAAGGAACAAAACAACACCGCAATATTTCTACAGATATCTCATTTAAAGATAAAAATGTGTATGTGCTATTCTATCCTGATTATGGTGATCAAAATTATTTTCAAATTACAGATAAGATTAACATATAAGAAGCTATTTTATTCCTTAAGTTAACATAATATTTATAGTGTTAGATGTTACTAAATGAGGTAATGATTACAAGACCCTTAGTTTTACATGTTGTGGGTTTTTATTTTGAACTATTTTCTCCCCAAGTTGCATCCACACAGATTCCTCAATATGGTTTCCCTAGAACGTTTTCACTTTTGGGAAGAGAATTGCTTCATACATTTGTATACTTATGAGACAAATGGTTTTGCTTTTTTTTAGAATTAAATGAACAATTTTCTCCCAAATCCAAAAGAAAATAGACCAAAGATAGTAACAAAATCTGAAGAAGATACCAGATAATGACTTAAAATTTGTTCTCAGAGTTCTGCCCTTACATTCTACAGAAATCACATCATTCTCGGCAAGCATGTATTTTAGCTTCTGGGAAGACACCCTACCTGTCACCCACAACCTGCAGTCTTGTAAACATGTGTATCCCAGGAGTCTTGGCTCTGGTTCCTGGATCAGCTTCTGGACAGTAGAGGTCACCAGCCTCTGCCCCCAGAGAGACCTTAGGAGGCACAGCCAGAAGGCCTGGGGTACCACCTGTTGAACTGCAAAAGGGTATGGGCTTATCTACCTCACAATGCTGCCAAACAAGCCTTCACGTGATTTCTTTGATCTCTGACTAATAACTGCATTTTTTTATATTCTTAAATTCACAAACTCATCTGAAGGGATGTTTGGCAAGGCATAAGAAGTTCTGACAAGTTTTGCTTATCTCAAATGAAGTAAAGTCATAGTTCAAAAGGCTAGGTACTTTTTAATTATATACAAATATATGTGCATATAAGTATGTAATTTTCCTTAAATGTTACTAACTCAGAAACAAAATATTTTTCCCTTCAAAAATTTCAAAAAGTATTTGTGTTTGGGGTGAGACCAAGCATGGGACGCTACCATCTCAAAGATACATTTTTTAGCACAGTATGACTACATTGCAGAAGGGACTATAATTATAATCTTGACATTACCATAACGACCGTGGTTGCTATCAGGTGACAGGTATAATATAGATAATCAGTAGACAGTACAATAGCAATATTTAATGATGCATGAGATAGAAGAAAATTAATTCATGTCTTTAATTCAGCTCCTCAGAGCCATCATTGGTTATATTTGTGTGTGACTTTCCTGATTCTGTTAGCATGTACATAACAGCTACAATGAACAGCAAAGAGCCAAGCAAGATATCTACTGCAGAATCCAGAGAGCTTGCATTTACTCATCATATACAATGAGTAATTTTTGTGTTCTTATTTATCTCTTTTTTTTTTAACATGATAGAGACTTCTACTGTCTTAATACCATACAAAAGGAAAAAAAAAAAAGAAAAAGCTGATAGCCACAGTGAGAGCTATGAAAAGTGCCTTTGCCTTGAAATCAAACAGTAGTGAGGCTGTTCTTTTGTTTTCCCATGTTGCAGTCTACCAACTCTTTCATTTAATCAGCCCGAGAGAAATAATGCCACGAATCGAAAAAAAACCCTGATCTAGAGTAAAGGAACATGCTCTATTGAATGAAAGAGGAACAAATATGCTCACCGGAGGAGCTATTTGCTGCTATAATGTGCAGCTATAATGGCTGCACATTTCAAATCCTGCAAGACTTTACTGCTACATTTATAAAAAAACATTAATTGAAAGAGATTTTTTATGAAAAAGGACACACCTGCAATGAAGCTATTCCAATAGATAGCAATGGATGAAATGTAACAGAAGACAAAGGAGTAACACTCAAACATAGATATGAAGAAGTACTATTCATATATCTTCACAATTTTTCTGGTTATTACTTCTGTTCAAACCTTGCTGCTCCTGTCTCCACACATACAACACTGCTACAGCCATTTCACTGAGCCTTAGAATGAAAGATGCAAAGTTTATAAAGAATCACAGAAACAGTGTTTTATAAAATGACATCAAAGACAGTGTCAGATGCTGTAGGGTGAGAAGAAAGTGCCAGCACCGTGGTACACTGAGGCAAGGCAGACAAAGGGGGCAGAAGAAAACAGAGAGGACACTTCACTGTGACACCTCAGCAGAACAAACATGAAGCAAAGTTTGTGTAACGCTTTGCAAAACTCTGGCTATTCTTTGATTCTCTCGTTGGCTCTCAGGCTCTCTCTTTCATAGTTTTCTTCTGTTGGTAATGCTCACTTCATTGTTTTCAGGACACTGCACCTCCATCACATCATTAGCTTCAGAAAAGATCAGGATGGATGCAGCTCTTGCCTGACATGTATCTGCACTTTTAATTCTGCCCCGAGTCTGTCACAGGACAGGTGACGACTCCAGACAACCTGATGACACCTATTAAGAAATTTACATCTGAGATAGCAGATATATGAAGCTATGAATTAAATAACAAGATATCAAAGACATCTCTTCCAGGTATGGTAGTTCCTGCTGTTTCTCCCCACAGGACTGCACTTCCACTTTTCTCACTCAGCTGCTCTCTGAAATCTCAGGAAAAGAGGGAACAGAAAAGCCAAGTCCTGCTGCAGTAATAAAAATACTGCACAGCTATTTTTCACAAATATTAACACCTTCCCTAATGGCAATATCACAGGCAAACACCACCAGCGTGTCCATACAGAAAACAGCAAATGTGACAACCACCTACGGTATGGCTTGACGATGCCATTTTTCACCTGCAGCTCTTTCACTTTGTAGGGCTGCCCCCGAACACAAGGCGTCTTTGGTCCTAAGTAAAGCTTTTCAATAATAGCAGCTCTGTCTTTGTTCCTTTTGTCTTGGTCCTTGAACCACAGGAGCTGGTTCTGCCTAGTGAGAATATTTCTTTCTTCCTTTGTGTTTCTTTAATAATTAATACTAAATATGGGTTTCATCTGCTGCAACTTCTAAAGCAGCAGGAAAACTTTTGAAGCAGAGCATGATCTTACAGAAGTATAGAAAAATTATGGCAGAGGCACATTTCTGCTATTCATTATTTCAACCACAAAGGCATAGTTCAGCATGCTGAAGCCTATGGTGCTACACAGCTCCCTTGCTTAGCTTGAGCTCCCCCTCCAACAGGAAGTTTGCTTTCCTTCCAAACAACTCTGAAAAGCTTGACTCTATACTTGTGATAGGCTTGGTGTGGGGTTGCAGGTTAGATATCCCATAACTTTCCCTAAACACCACAGAGTTACCCTTCTTGGGGTGGTCATTTATGTTTCTTCAGAAACCCAAAGCTTCAGGCCAGAAAGCAGCCACAAGTCATTGTTCTTCAGGATTATTCTGTTTCCAGCTCTTTAATTTCATGAATACCTGCCCAGACTGGGTGTAGGGCAAAAACTGCACAGGGAGTCTTGCCATATTGAACTCATCACCGATAAATAAACAAGGTGGCTCCCAGTCTTAAAGCTGAGCTATTTTCCTTTAAAGTCACATTTTCTAAGCCAGAAGAGATCATTAGATCACCTTGTATGCTAACAGATTGGTCTAGAATACTTGTATTAGGGTGTGTATTCTGCAGTGAGGTCACTGTTGATGTTAATCATAATGAGCTCTTCAGCTACAAAGGTTTTTTCTCCAGCCTTCAAACTATTTGTGAATTTTTTCTACATTACCCCTGTTTTTTACATAGCCTTAATCAAATGCAAGTATCTGTAAATACAGACACAGCATTTGTCCATTACTCAACACAGGAAAAAAAACCACCTTCAAAGCCTACTCAGCCTTAAGTAGAAATTTAACTGTGTGGGATCTGCCCCCCAGCTCTTAAGTCTTAGTTTACATTTGTCTCCCAAAACTTGCACTGCTCAAGGCGTCATGTCCTGATCAGCAGGATCAAGTACTTTTCCCTTGGTGAAGGAAATCACAGAAAATACTGAAGAAAGGGAAAAAGAAGAAAGAAAATAGACTATTACCCTGGTAAAATGATGACAGTGCATGGGAAGGATTGACATAAAAGAGCAAAAAAAGGTAGCTTTCTTAGAAGTTAAACAGTCACGAGAAAAGCTATTTTCGCTGCCATTTGGGAAGGGGACTTCTGAATTTAAAGAATACTGCAATAATCTAGTTATGTGATTTAAGATGAAATAGAAAGCTAAAGTATATGTTGTCACTTTTTTCTTTAATGAAATGCTACACTTAAACGTCTTCATTTGAAAATAATCTGTATGTGGGTTTTTTTAAAAATAGCATCAATTTGGTAGTTAGAAAAAAAAGGTTCACAGCGTGCTTATGGCTGACTGAATCTGGAGGTTAGCTAAGATGTTATCCCTGCCTGTAAGTCCAGCAATGCTGCTGAATGCACTCTCCATAAGAACTGCTGATGCAATTTATACCTTTAGTCTTTTTTCATCCCAGAGGGTAAAGAAAATCTGCTGGTGTATGGAATGCTTTGTTAAAAGAAGAAATTGAGAATACAATTGCATGGTTTTATTTATTAAGAAAAGCATAGAATTCTGTTTCTTCACATATATAAAGAATCAAACAATTTGAGATGGTTTATGTCATCATGATCCCAGGCCTCTTTTGGCTTTCAGACTTTCCTCTGTGTTGTTTCTCAGAATGACACTGTTAGTGCCCCTGCCCTGCTATCTTTATCTCCTCGTGTTGTATTTTCCCAGCTTCACTTTGCTGCCTGTATTTTTTTATGCAGCTTTGTTTAGGGCAATGATTGTCCAGTGGCGAAGGCCCATATTATTGTAGCTACCTGATTCCACATAGCAGCTCAATGGCTTTTTGCAACTAGCTTAAATTAAGGGTAACTTCAAAAGATTTAATACAAACTATAATTTCACGAACACCTCTCCAAGCAATTTTCACAAATAGCCTTCTTTTAGGGTCTTATTCTAAACCATCACAATTTTACCTTCAAAAAGCAGGTCCCACACATATTTCAGCATGGGCAAACCACAAACTGAGTGGCAGATTTCCTTAGGCCGTAATGGCTGTTTTCAAGCCACACCAGTATAACTGGCCACAATTCACCCAGCCTGTTACAAACTCCTAGCTGCTCATTTCCAGAAGCCCTGAGAAAATTGCAAAGGAATAGGCACCTATTGCACATGAACAACATGGCTGATCTGCACTAGTGGATAATAAATCCAATGCTTTAATGAGATCACACCCCTCATCTAATACACGTGAAGCCAGCTGACCACGCTCAGACAACTTGCTTGGCACAACACCAGAGCAAAGGAGAACCTCGCCTGAATTGCTGACAGGATTTCCCACCATCTTCATTTACAGCTCTTGAAAGATTGTTTGGTTGAGACACTTGAAAGGACAATTGGCAACATATCCCTTGCATTTGTAAATTAGTTGAGCATGTTAGAAATTCATCATGAAGAAAAGTCACCATTAAACTAGCAGTGGGCACATTTGAATCAGCTGTAAAAGTAAAGCATAGATGCCAAAAACTGAGAGTCAGATCAGTTTTCTCAACCAAGAAGCAGTACCACAGAGCCAGGAGAAGCTGAGCTAAGCCAAGCTTTCATTGCAATTCACCAAGGAGTATTTACAATGTGGAAATACAAAGAATATGGCTGTCGAACAAGGCATACAGGACTTTTCTGAGCAGTAATTTCTCAGAGAAAGTAATCTTGTGACAATTACTCTTTCTTAATTACTTTAAATGCAAATTATTTTCTGTGTAATGTTATTTAGGTCACCTGAGTATATTAAAACAGTCAAAGATTTACAGTCAGATGTAATTACATCAAACTTTCCAAGGGATTTCCAGCTGTTCTCTGGAATTAATGCATAGCATAAGGATAGCTGACTGGAGTTTTGTACATGATAGCATTTTTATACATGTTTGCATTTAAAACGTAGTCTATATAAAATACAGGCATTTCAGATTTAACTTGCATGCTACTTTACATGGGAAGAAGCCCAGAAGTTCCAGTTATCTGATATTTGGACATGGAATTCTGAAACAGGTTATTGCTTTAAATCCAGACTAACACGTTCCATAGCCAAAATGAGGGGAGGGGGTGTACTCTATTTTTTTCATTTTAAAGTTTGTTCTTCTCTTATGGCCCCAGTACTGAGCTTTACCAAGCATCTTCAGTTCCTTCAGCCGTGGTGGGAAGTGGCGATGTGCACCCTTCTGTGGGTTCCAGCCTAAGGATTACTTTATAGTAAAACAGTGTCTTACCCCTGGGTGGCCCTTGGTTTACCTTTATTCTGGCAGCGATCCAGAATATTTTCCAGAATTTGTATAGATGTGGTTGGAACAGTTTTCCTTCTCCATTTGCTGCCCAAAGCTAGTAAAAGCAGTCACTGTGATATGATGAGAGATTATAACAAGGATACAGTGGCTCCTCCACTCTCCAAGACATGTGCACAGTGTTGATAAAAATAAATCTTGCATATCTTGTATGTTTGTGTTTCCTTGCTAGCCCTCCCCATCTTTCCGATGCTGTCACTCAGTGGCACACTGTCTCTCACACTCTCTCCAAGATGGAGAAAGCAGCTCTCTGTAAGCCTCAAACTCTAGGAAACTTCTCTTACTTTTCCACAGGTCCTTCTAAGTGGCTAAAGATGTTTTCAAAATATTAAGACATTTTCAGGATGTCAAGATAATGTCATGATTTTTTTTCCTTTTGAGGCCTTGGTTCCTTGTCTTTGCCAAATCCTCACCTCAAGAAGAATCTTTGTTGTGACGATGGCAAACTTTTTTTTATTTAGAAAAATAAAATATTGATGTGGGGATTTCAGATATATTATCGTACCACAGATCCCTAACAGGTCTTAGACTTGGGGAAAAAAAATGAGATTCTTCCCTTCCTCTTAAAGCAATTTCTGTTGAAACTCAAACCCCATCAGGTAAGACAAGAAAAGCATGGAACATTACAAAATATGGCCATAGGGTATTTTATATTATACCCATCATATTTGTCTCTTTCTTGTTATTGTCCCATCATTCAAATATCCTCATTAGAGCTGCCGAGCTCATATTAATACCCGCCACCCAGTGCGACAAACTCCTGTTGTGAAGAACTTTCCTATGTTCCCATGTGCTCATTCTTCTTCTCGAGATAGCGCAATTTAGGTGATACTGCTCGTGGATGCTCATGGATTCAGAAAACAACTACCTTCTTCCAGTCTTTTGTGCCAAAAGGCAAACAGAGCGCTAAGTATCGTCACCACAAGAACAACAGCAACAACGTGTGAAAAGAGGAAGGAGGTGGTCAAGCAACAGAGAAGGTAACACAGGTGTTTCAGGTCCATTCCTGGGAGGAAAGAGGCTTCAGCACTCACCACCAGTTTGTTTCCCTCACCACCCTACGTGCGAGGGGAGCTGTCGCCGTTCCAAATGCCACACAGAATCTGTCATTTTATATTTAGCAGAGGCAATCGCACTTCAGCAATAACATATTTAATAGAAACACAATAAACTGCTAACTCAACAGGTGACAGGTTAGATGGACAACACTGGTCTTCATATTGCATTGTATTTTATCAAGTGCGTTACCACAGGCAGAAGCCTTGTCAAAACAGGCCTTATATAAAGAGCTTTCAAAACAAAATATCCAAACCAGATCACCACAAAGGTGTATGTGTTTTTCTTAACAACAGTTTCCACAAACAGCAACGTCCAGAGGTTTGCCAGGGGAAAGCTGAGGGAAGGTGCTGCATGGAGCACAGTAACCTGGGGGAAAGGACGGGGTTGTGTGTGTGTGTGTGCACGTGTGTGTGTAGTGAGACACCTGCCAGTTCTTCACAAAGTGAACTTTGTGTTCAGCGAGCTTACTTCAAAGAATTACTTCAAATGCTGAAATTACAAAGATTTTCTAAAAACAAACTTGCAGTAAGTCTCAAAAAGAGCTGTCTAGGTGCCTGAGTCATATTGAAACCTTTAAAGCATAACAACAGTTACGTACGTTGACATATTTACCGGTTATCCCAGATTTCTGGATCTGGCTGCAGTCCTGGCCGGCCCCCGGGGGCGGGCGGCTGCCGTCGGGGGGAGCGGCGCTGAGGGGGCGGGCAGGGCCGTGCTGCGGGCGGGCGGGAGACCCCCAGCCCAGCGCCCGTCCCGCTGCCCCGGAGAAGCCGCCAGGGCTGCCTGCCGGTGC